GTCAGTATTCCCATTTGCAAACCCTAGTTGTAAGTCCTAAGGTTAGGAATCTGATGCAGGAAGCATAGGGTAAAGTTCTGTCACCCAATTCAACGCAGTCAGATGATGCAGAAAGTTAAAGTCCATAAAAATGAGTCGACTAAGGTAACCTGAGTACACCTCGTAGTAGTGTGCTTGGACCTCCTGTTGCTTGAGAATAAATGTGGGGAGCTCCACTGAATTGGGGATGATAGGGAGATGAGGATTTTCTCCGTAATTCTATTGAATGTTTATGGACTATCACAATCAAAGATTTGAAAATCATAATACATAATCATAATGCATTCTGTCCTTCACATTGGAAGTGAGATCTTATAACTCTTGATTTAAAAATGGCTTTGCATATTTAGTTACATACAGTACAGACTGCTAAGATACTGAATTTAATCAAGACTTCTTGAAATGACCAATGAAACTTGTTTTTTGGTGTCAGATAATGTTGTAGGTGTTAATTTTTTTTCAGGAAATTAATTTGATTCTTCATGTAAAACTTACTCCTTTCAACTCTTCCTACATTCATCTTTCAGAATCCCTTGTTATGTTTAATGTGTAATTTATAAATGTATTATTACAGGACATGCCTATGGAGGAAAAAAAATAGCATGTTCTGTTATTTAGCTTTATTTCAACTGTACTATTGTATTTTACAGCTGGATTTGTGAAGCTTGATTTTACAGAATATTTAGTTATTTGAATGCCATTTTCCCAGCCTTGCAGGTCATCTCATTGAATGTGGTGCTCAATGTACAGGTGGAATATTCACTGATTGGCATGCAGTACCAGACTGGTAGGTAACCGTGACATCAGCATGTATGTTTGTAGTGGACCAAAGATGAGGTTTCCTACTATATCTGTGTTGTGAAAACTGCTTCTGCTTTATTCTTTTGGGGGAGGCAATATGGGCCTCTTGATATTTTTCTACCTTAATGTTATTCTTCTACAAGGTCTATTCTCCTTATTGCAGTTTTCCTTTCTGGTCAGCTGGGGGCTTTCTTTGTTAAGAAGCAGATGATTTGGAAAAAAATTTCCCCCTTTGATTTTTTTTTTTTTTTTTCTTTTAGATTATTTTTTCTGTTTCTTTTTTTATCATCTGCTTTTTGGAAAGATTTGTTACTGGCTTTTATGTATGGTTGCAATGGAAAAGACAATATGCATGTTTTGGATACTGTTTCATCAGTCTTCAGTTAGATCAGAGTTGCCTACTGTTCAGTCACAAATTTTATATAATTTGCTTTGGTAGGGATGAATGTATGCCACAGTCCTCTCCTGTTGTATGACCTGATCTCCACAAATGTGCTGAGCTGTCAGTCCTTTCGAAAAGTTATGTGTGTATCTTGTGTTCAGACTTACTGAATTAGAGTTTCACGTAGGTAGGTCCCTCTGCCTTGCCGAGAAGTACCACAAGGAAGGACTAATATAGCTTGCTTTTGACCAACTTGTTTTTAAGAGTAGTTTAAAAGTAGTCAGGGAACATGTTTTGCATAGGATGAGTGATTCTGGCTGCAGTTTATTCCTATTTTCCTTGGGATGAGAGGGAGGAACCTTGTCCTGTGCTGTGTCATGAGAAAGGCAGTGCCTCCTTCACTTGATGGAGGAAAGGGCTGAAGAGCAGTGGGAGGAGAGAAGGGTGGCTTTCATTGGGTGTGTTCCTGCTCCTGAGTTGAGGAGGCCACCGGTGGCAGCCTGTAGTCCAGGTGGATGAACCAGCAGGACACTGTGCCCTGCAATCTGAAGAGCCGCTCTCCTGAGATAGTTCCCTAGGGCTGCCAAGCTTTTTTCTCCTACTTGTAGTGACTGTTTCTGATTCAGAGCGTGATCCTGAAAGATGTATTCTGCCTTTCTGAGTTCCTGAACACTGCTGATTTACAGGTGAAGGTACATACGGCCTTGAAAGAAACAGGGACCGACATTTGTTTTCACCTATTAGAAAGTTGCTAGCCCTGAACAAACTGCACTCGCTCTTCACTGTTGCATTCAACGGGAAATCAAATGAGAGGTTTTGTAGTAACAAGACACTCTGTTCAGTTTGGAAATTTGTAACTGCTAATCTTATTCCTATTCTGATGTATCTCCCAATGATTTTATTATGCTGTATCATGAAACTTCTTAAAATCTCCTGTAGCTGTGACTCCAAAAGACCTCGTTCTATGAAAGAATCAAAGGAAAAACCAGAATACCACTTTTCTTATTAAAATGCTTGGTAGCTCTTTATTTTTAAGGATTTTTCTGCGAGAATGGCAGTCTGGTTTAAAAAAAAAAAAAAGGAAGTTTGAGTATATTAAGCTATGAGCTACTGGAGTCAGAGTAGCTAATTTTGCGGACAAGTATATGTACATTGTATATGCATAGCTAATACTTGTGTGTGTGTAAAAATCATATAACTGTGTCTAAAATCATAGTAGTCTTGTGGCTTAGAGCTGACTGTTGCTAACTTGAATCGCTACTAAAGAAAGGTTAGCACCCAGTACTGCTCAGTTACCTTTTCCCTGTTGATCTGCATGCATACTTCTGAACCATGCATGATTGTATCTATGCTAATATAACAGTAATTTATTTACCTTCAGGTTAAGTCTACTAAAGAAATAATCACGGTGCCTTAAAACTACTGGTTTTGTTTGCAGATTGAAAAAGTTTTAGGCATTTAATTGATGAAATTCTTGAAATGAAAGTATGTTACATGTCAACCTGCATGATAAACACCTAAAATTAGTCAAAATAAAACCAAAATAACATGTGAGCTTTAATTTTATATTTGGAGAGGCAGAGTAGAAAACTGACTAAAGTGGACTTGTGGTCCAGCACATCCGTTTAGGATACAGGGGGAAGGAAGGAGGGGAGGAGATTTGTTAAGAGAGCTTTGCTGCTCCTTCCCCCCCCCCGCCCCCGATAAATAGTTGTTTACTATATTTAGGCCCAAATGCATGAAGGGGAAATACTATGAAAGCTTTTGGACTGCAGAAAAATGCATGTTCCATTTGATAGCTTAGTGGTAACCTGTTGATTCCTTAAGGTAAAGAAACTTGATGGGGTGGGGTTTTTGTTACGCAGACAGTCTGAATCAGTTCTCAATGCATGCAGCTAATGCACTGCATAATAAGACACAATAATAATATGATAATTCAGAGTTTCAATAATGACCAAACCAGGCAATACCTGCTGCCACCAACATTACTTATATTGCCAATAGGTCAACAGAGCTCTGACAGAGTTTGCAGAAGTTACTTGTCTAGAGTCTATTAATGATTTCTTCCTCATTTAGGAAAAGCTATGTTTCTAGCAGTCTCCTGAAAGTAAGCGTGTGTAATTTCGATCTCAGTAAATCATAGCTTCTGTGATGCATAAGGTTAAATCCAAACCAGCCCAACAAATTCAGTAAATGTGGGGGGAAGAAGCCAAGTCAGATCTCTGTGTTTGTCATTAAAGTGCCTTTCACATACGAATTTCTCACTGCCATGAATGCGTTCATGCAGCCAAGACCACTTGCCATTCAGCTCTGCAAACATTTACTGGACCTTCACGCTAGAACTTAAGAAAACCTTTCATGGCATTTATACTGTTCTCTGGTGACTAAACACTAGAGGGCAATCTGTCTCTTTTCCTCACATCTTATTGCAGCGGGTAGGTTTGGTTATGATTAGACTCAGGTCGGTTTTTTCACTGTCTTTGGGGTTTTTTTCTCCCCGAGAACAGGAGTCCATGTTGCTCTTCTGTCTTTGGCTGCTGAAAAAGGTGTAAGTGCGTGCTTCTAAGAAGGACTGATGGTATGAGTTTTTCTAACTTCTAAACAAAAAAGGAAGAATTTATCAAATTTTAGGCTTATAAACCTTATCTGTCTATGCATAAGCAAAAATAATTAACTGTGTAAACAAGAGCACTTTAAGTTAAACTAAGTAAAGCCAGGCAAGTCAGAGTCAGAGCTCACATTCCATGCATATATTATCATGTCTCTGTGAGTATTGAGGCACCGGATTGGACCCACTTCATTCATCCAACATAGTTTTTCAGTTTGTTTTTAAATTATCTTGAAATGTTTGATGCGGACCACTTCTGGGAACTCAATTCCACTGCAGAAGGGTGCTTTAATTCTCAGGAATGTTCATGTGGGTATATTGTGGCCATTGAATGGTTAGGTATTAAAACCTAAGTTATTCATTCTTTTTCTTTGTTGTCTCAGTAAAGTAAGTTTTTAATGTAAAACAAGTAAAGCGCATGTTCCAACTCATGACTCTCCAAGTTACTTTAGTTGATAGAAGCAGACTTAGTTGATTTCTGTCTGTTGACCTAAGGCACTGGGATTTCTTTAATTGTGCTGGGTGTATCTCCTTAATGTATTTGACTTAAAGGCAGGAATCTTGAAGCTGTAAAGTTTCGTCCAGTTTTTATGAAAACAGGCAGACAGGTAGAGGCGATAAATGCTGTTTACTTTTCCAATGAGAGGGAGGCTGCTTGACTCACCTTTTGTGTGTATTCTCTGTTTAGCAGGGAAAATATAAGAAACCATTAGTTCACAGTTTATAGAAGACTAATGTGCATTTTTAAATGGCTGATTTTAAGCAAATGTTATCAAAAAGGCACTTAATCCTTTTCTGTTATTTATGTAGTGATATATGTCAGCAGATGGTCAGAAGAAGTGATAATACATCACTGCTCCCTATTTAATGTCTAGTGCACAGCCCTCAATAGGGAGTTCACGCGGTGTGTCAAAATAAACCATGATGCCAGAACTATATTGATAATGCACAGCTCTGTATTTAATTTCATTTAACCCCAGACATTGCTGTCTCTTACTATTATTTAGTGCCAGTGGGTGATTAGTACATTACTTTTTGTTTTGAAATGCAGGAGAGAATACACTAATGCTGATCAGTAGAGTAATCATTTTGAGGACACGATAAACACTGACATTTTGCCCTAAGCCAAGAGTGTACAATGGTTGAGACTGCATAATCCTCTGGCCTGGGATGACCAAAAGGGTAAGTCAATAGTTGTAGTCTCCTAAGGGCTGGATCCAGATTGCTTAATTTGGGACTTGAACAGAATCCAGCATGTGAGTCCCAATGAGCAATGTGGAATGCCTTTTTCTCTGTAGCACCATCTATTCCAGGCAGCTGAAAACACCAGGCAGCCTGTTTGATTGGCTTGCAATTGTCTAGGTATTAAGCGTTTACATACAGTGCATACTCTGAAATGCCCTAGTCAGAGGATATAAGTGATGCAATCAATAAATTTTGCCTAAATAGGAATTGCAGCAGAAGTTAGGAAACTTGCTGGTACCTACATGTAAAGAGATGCATATACCTTACCCGTAAGTTTGTGCTGATCTTGCCTGACACATGTTAGCAGTTTTGAATTGGTTGGAAAAACACTGCTAGAAGTGGTAACAGTTTCTACTTTTTACCTAATAGCATTGCAGTTAAAATACATGCCCCAGGGAGTTGAGAAGCTTGGCTTAGAGTTCTCCTCAGCGTGACATTCAGTGAGTTACATCCCGGGAAACTGCATCAGCTGTAAAGCTAAAAGTTCATACCACAGCCTACTTGGACCCTGGTTCACTTCCATGTCACATGCATTGCTGTGGCTTTTTTGGTTTTTGTTTTCTTTCTTGCAGCATCTTCCCCCGCAAGTAAATGTACTACACTAACTGTCCCATCTTTTGCTGCCAGTAATCTCAGTCTACCAGTAGTGGCCAGAGTGAGATACTTGAGGGGTTTGGCACCTTCTGAGGAAAGAAATACCCGTTTTATCTCAGACAATGTCTTTTTCCCTGAGCCAAACAGGACCCAGTACTGATCATGGATTTTACTTTTTTTGTGATGCAAATGATGTAAGATACGCGGCAAAACAAGGAAGGAAGGCTATCTTCATAGCTGCACAGAGGTTGAATAGTGCATTGTCCCGGAGTAGAGATCTCTGATTAGACAGTTCATGTTATTACCTGTGACATGCCCATAAACTGTAACATTTCAGAGAGCCAAAACTGACATAAAAACAGTTTTATCTATTACATGGAAAAAATTAATCCAAGAGTAAGGCAGGCGGAGAACTGACAGGAGACTAGATTTCAGAGCCCTGATTCCTATTAGAGTAGGACAGCAGCTGTAGGTGGTTGATGAGAAGGTGCCTTCAGCAGCAAAACCAATTTTGGAACTTCATTACCCCTATGCTGCAGTCAGTGAGGACCTGCTTTAACTGTTAAACTCCTCACCCAGCCCCAACTTGGAGGGAGTTTCTGAGGTTTAGTCTTAGCTAGGATTTATTCAGTGCTCTGGTTTACTAATGCATATAATTTATTTAATTGTTAAATACCAAACACGCAACCTGAAACAGACATTTGGATAAAGGAATGGTAGTTGTCATCTCCTTTCACAAACTGATGTATATTACTTGTGTATTTTAACTCTGTGTTAAAAGAACTGCTCAAAATGTTTTAAAAGTAATACTTTCATGTTTATCTCTAGTATTATATTTTATTAATTACATGATCATATAATTTAATTAGAATTCATTTTAGTAGTTTACTTCCAGAATTGTTTACATTGCTTGATATTGCCCCATCCTACTAGGGGATTTTATCACTAAACTGATGCAATTCTTTTATTATTGAAGGGTGCCACTCTGGATGCCATGACTGTAGTTGCTGCTGAAGTTCAAGTTCATGGTTCTGTGGTTTAACTCCCTGCTACACTGTACAAAATTACAACTTGGCTGTGGGTTATGACCGGCATAAAGTTGGCGTGTTACAGAGCGGATGTCATATGGTCTGTAGTCATTCAGCAAAACCTGCTAGTGAATCGGGCAAAGAGTTACTTCTTTCAGTTGAAGTGCTGATCAAGGTGATGGTGTGATCGTAATACCTGTGGTATGCGCTAGAATACCCCATCCAGGTAGCTATTGCTGCTAGTGAGCTCTAATGCCAGGTTTAAGTAGCTGTCATTTGACTGAATCATGCCATAGGGGTGACTTAGCCCAGTTTGATTCCAAGCTGAAAATTCATTTTAAGTAATGTCTCTTAGCAATATACAAAATACATTTTTGTCTTATGCATGCATATGTTAATGTAGGTTATTATTGGCATCTGCTATGAGGTAGTATAGGATGTATGTATTTTCCCAGTCATCCAGGTAGAATATAGATAGAATCCAGGGGCTTCTTGCTCAATTCATTGCATCTCTATGTTTTGAATTGTTAAAAAGTGAGGGAAGCTTTCAGAGCTGACGTGACCTGGGAGAACACACATCTTCTGCAATTAACTGAGCATTCAGGAAAGTTTGTTGGGTGGTGTTGGACCTTGAGGAGGGAGCATCCCTCATGCTTATCTCAGATAAAGGCAAGAAGTCTTCCTTGATACCTTCACTAACTGTTGAAACAGAGTAATAATGAAAGAGATGACCAAAGAGTACGTCACTGATTGTAGCGTTCTTTTCATTGACCTTCTGCGTTGTGGATTTCAGAATGGTTTAAATGTAGCTAAAAATTCTTACCATGCTAAGACATGCTGGTGTCCTGTGTCAGCATGCCTTTTCTAGAAAGACTTTTGGTCTTCCCCTTTGGTGTTTTTTTTGTTTGTGTTGGTTTTTTTTTTTTTGGGGTGTATGTGTTTGGTTTTTGTTGGGGAGTGTGTGGGGGGGAAGTTGTGTTAGAATGTCTTCTCTTCTTCATACAATTTTCTTACAAGCTTTGGGTCAGCAAGGCTGCAAGTGGTAAGAGCTGAGTGTCTTTTTTTAAATAGCAAATATGTCTCAACCTTAGAGGCTATTTAGAAGCTGTTCCAGAAAGTGCATTCATACCTACATGGTCTCCTTCCAGCTACTCTGGCAGCATAAAAAATTCCACCATAAAGATCCTCTGACTTTGATAGCGCTAAGATAACAGGAAAATCAAGAGTCTGTCCTTCCTTTTGCATACTAAGGGACCTGAATAATAGTGATGTTTATACTGATGCTGTTTATCTGCTGTCTTCCATGATTGGTCTGCTTTTAATGACTTAAGCATTTGGTAGATTTTAACCATTTTAGGGGGTGAAGTTTCTCTCTTTGCCTCACTATATTGTTGGTTTTTGTTTTTTAATGGTTCGGGTCCTTGAGAGTGGAGCTTGGGCAAACAAGTTTAATCGATGTTAGCAGA